CCTCCACTGTTCTTTATTTATCATCGAACAACTCGCAACGAAATCGAGATAAATTCTGCCGATAAATGTTTGTTCACCCTTCTTTTTTTTTTATTTTTTCCTTTTTTCTCTCTCTTTCCTTTTTTCTCTCTCTTTCCTTTTTCTATTTCGAGGGCCGGCGTTAAATTCGTTTCGGTTGCCCGATGCTGCAAAGAGAAATAATCCGCGTTTGTTTCACCGGTTTAACGAATTCTGATTAAAGTACGTTTACCGCCGTTTTCGGTTATCCGTTTCCGTCCGGTTTAACCGGATATCGCGTTCCCGCGCTCGCGAGACCGATCCGACCAGCAGCTGGCGTTCGTTGGGCAAATTTTTGAATATCCGAAGGGAATATCGAAGGGACGAAAAAGGAATTTAATATCGTTGGGACAACGGAATCTATTTGGAATCACGGCGGAGAGCGAAGGATATTTGGTTTCGGATTTTAAAGTACGATGAACAATCGCGAGTTTGAGGGCTGGTTAGGTGATTCGCGAACGATAACCTGGCGAATAGAACACGTTGATAATCGAGGTTCGACGAGATGTGAATAATAGCGTGAAACGCGTTAGAGTCGCTTACGAAAATAAAATTTATAAAATTTTTCGAGGGTACCTGCATGTTTCGATGTAGGAATTTTCTTTATTGGCTAGCTTCTTTATTTTCCGACTGAATAATTCTATGTCGATACACACTGACCCGACGACTACTACCGAAGAACTCTTCGCAAGTCTTAACCCTTTGCACTCGACGATCTTCTGGCTAGAGAAGAGTAGAAATTCAAAGATTTTCTAGTAAAAAACTGACGATACCTTTTTGAGCAGTAAATAAAGAATTGTATAATAATTAGAATTGTAGAATTATTTGATTTCGATACCTCGCACACTGTTACGTTACATTAAATTTGATACATTAATTAATATTGTAGAGAACAGACTAACATATAAAATACACGACACCAAGAAGACAGGACAGTACAAACGTCAAAACGACACAAACGACACCACGATAGTACGCATATCGCTAATATCGCCAATACATCTTGTAAACTCTTGTAAATATATCTTCTAATTAAATTATATTTTAAAACTGCAGAAAATAGTTTACGCTCCTAAAACGACGTAAACCTTCGCCTGAATTCTTCCTACAACCAACAAGAAGATTCGGACGAAACAGACGATAAGCATGAGGATCCAAATTGTTTAAACATCCACCACTACAGAAAGACGTCGATACTGATACATGTAGGATCGGGGTGTGTGTGGATTGGCTAAAGTAACGTTGCTTTACTGCTTCTTAAAATACAATAAACTTATGCTTATAGTATCGGCTACGAAACTAAAGACTCGCTACGGGTACGCTCGACTTTTACTTGTTAGACGCTATCTTGAAGACCGTGAAGGACTGTCCTCGCCCGCGTCCTTGCACCCTTATTTAAACCGCTCATCCTCCTCATTCATACCCGGACTTTCTTCCCCAGTCATGCTCCTTTCTCACGCAACCTCGGTGGGCCAGGCACTTCAACCACTCTGCACGCATCCTTAAACTTTCGCTCGACTCTACCATAAATAATCCTTGCAGTCGATCCTTGCGCACATGGTCACTTTCGTTCTAAGTCCAGACACACTCGACAATTCCCAGAGCCACACTTATTCCATTCCCACATACACATCCCCCAATATTATTCACAACCAATCAGTAGACATACTGTAGAGATAGGGTGGTTGTTAAATAATATAAAAATATTTATTAGACATAAAATATAATATACAATGTGCGGTAACGTAAAAACTACGAATATAGATATCTATCAACGAAACTTTTACGACTACAACTAACACGATTATAACTAACAACACAATTCTTCACAACTCTCTCTCTAATAATTCTACTACGAACTCTAACATACTACACCGTACTACGACATACTACATACTCCCTACTCACGCCCTTGCATCCCTATTTAAAACCATACATTCTATCCTT